GGTTTATACAATACGTACACTGATCCACATCCCAGAACACAGCGTTCTTCATACTCACCGCCGAGAAAACCTCAAATCTTACATAATTTAATAAATTAATATATTAATTTAATATGAAATAAGGATTGCAATTTACTGGTAGTTGCAACGTTTAAATTTGTCTGTTGACTTTAAGTGTAGGGACATAATTTTAGGTTTGAAATCTGTTAGGTATTTTCGGACATGATACGTGGAAAAAAAGGGTGGGAGGGGGAGGCAAAATTCGTTCCGGAATTATGAGTTCATTTTACGGTCTTCTTGCAAAGAAGGGATAGAAATTGGAACGATGACCTTCAGGAATTTCAAATAGACGGTCACAGGTGCACGTCAGCTTGTGCAACATTGACACATTTTTCTGAAGTGTCAACGGAAATTATAGATCAAATGGCCGATGTCACTGACTTCTGTCGAAGAACACGACTTACAAATTTTATTTGTTTGTTAGTGACTGCATTCTCTGTGGTCTAGTGGCCAGAGTTCATGGTTACAGATCCAGAGGTCCCGGGTTCCGTTCCCGGCGCTACCAGATTTTGTGAGAAGTAGGGGGTCTGGAACGGGGTTCACTCAGCCTCGTGAGGATAACTGAGGAGCTATTTCAAGGAAATAGCGGCTCCGGTCTAGAAAACCGAAATTAACAGCCGTGGGGGTCCGTTGCGCTAACCACGCGACACCCTCTATCCGCTAAAGTTGGCACTAACTTCCCCGACAAGCGGCGGTCGCTCGGTCGGTATAGTTCGCTTGCGGACTACAGGCCATGGAGTTCATTCTGACACTGCCGCATTAAATAGTAAATCATACAATGAGATTAAATAGCTGATTTGTTAGAGAGGAAAACCAGAGATCGATTTCCACAGGGGTTAGAATTTCTCCTTTCGCTAAATTGTGCACCCCTGATCTAAGGCTCTCTAAATGAATTCAAATGATACTTAGGAACATTTCTTCGGGAACAGATAAATGTTAAAGCTGTCCCACTGCACCTTGAGACTCACGACCAGTAATTTTATTTTCCAACTGAACACTTTCGGTTATAGCCCTTATGTAATATCTTCTCTGATGAAAGGATTGGTGTATCGTTTATAATTGCTGCTGGTCCTCGCCAGCATAGTCATTCTCCGATCTGAATTCCGCGGGACTCGTGACTACATTTTATTGTCTCAGATTCGAGACTTCCCCAACCTGGAGGGCCAGGTCCCCGTATTTACATGCCCCAGGAACAGGCTGGCCCAGTTATACCACCGAAACATTGGGTTCCCTTTTCTTCGCCTCCTACGACTCGCAGGGCCACGGTGGAGGCGTTCTCTGATTTTTTTTAAACTAATGAAAGTTTATTATGAAGTTGGTTTTCATAATTCATAAGCTTACATTGGATTACTCTACATGAATTCATTATGTTCACTTGTGCGTATCATGTACAGAAAGAACACAGTAATTTTGTTTTTACTGAATCCATCCTGCTTTATATATATATATATATATATATATATATATATATATACAGCCGTTACAGAATCAGATCAAGGAGTGATTTAACGAGTATTATCCTAGATTTGAAAATTCTTTATATTTTCTTATTTTACACTAGCTACTAGCTGGACGATCAAGGGGTCGGAGTTCCAGTCCCGGTGGGGTCAAGGATTTTTTACTTCTCCATGTCGTCCAGACTGACTCTGGGGTTCATTCAACCTCCTATACAATGGGTACTGGGAGCTCTTTCTTCGGGGGTAAAGCGGCCGGGGCTTTAAGCTGACCACTCACCTCCAACTAGTACCGAGGTCAAGAAAATGTGGATCTATACATCCGCTCCCCCATACGCCTTCATGGCGTAGTGTTTAATTAGTTAAGCACAGGGACAACTTCACATTTTTCTTATTTTACTGCTTATGTTTGAAAGCGTTTGGCATCGCGGCACCAATAAAAGAAGCGGGGTTCGTCATGGGAAAAAGTTGAATGCATTGTAGTATTCTGTTTTATCTAACGGGCAGTGATATCGCTTAATTCAGTTTGCCTACATAAATTGTGACAATCATGAATGTTAACGGGCTACTTATCTGCCAACGGAGTGTGTAAGCATTGAATCTGGATTGGATATCCGAGGGGCAGAGCAACATGGAATATATAATGTATTATTTTCAGTTATCGCAGCGCCCAGTTAGTTGAAATGATCCTGTATTTTAGCATCCTTTGCATTGCTATATCTAAAACTGTTTATGTACTGCAGAGTCCGTCAACAATACAATATTTAAGGAACAAATTGTTGCATTGTTGACGGACTGTGTAGTGCATAAAAAGTTTTAGTTGGAATAATATTGTGAAAATTGTAGACAGGCCCACTAGTTTAATGGGTCTCTGATATTTTAATCTGATAACCTTACTTTATAAGGAAAGATAAGTTTATGATGTCATGTGCACGTGACCTTCGTGTCTGTCCAAATTCTTAAGTTTAAAAGCACTGTAAATGGTGGGTTATCATAAATTTTTCTGAGCAAATCATTCCATTAGAGGTGACATCTTGGTCAGTGCATGTTCGTATATCGTAGAGAATTAAGCAAAATTTGTTACAGATAACTTCTTGCAAAATGTAACCTAGCACAAGGAAATGTTTACCGGGCGAAATTTCTATCTAACATTCTGTTTGATGACAGTAAATAATTATCCATTGAACATGTAATTTGACATGGACGAACATCATGAATATCCCTACAAATTCTGTATAAAATATTATTTACATAAAAGTAACGCAGAGAGTGTTCATTCCCAGACAAACATATTTTACTGGGAAGGACGATATGCAGTAGCATAAGATGTAATTACACACGAACCGGTGCAATGTGGCAGTAACAATTGATGAACAACTGCCTGAAGATGGCCTTGTAAGGCCGAAACATGTTGCAATTAAATGTGATTTTAAAGGCATTTTAAAATAAAGGAAAGACTGTGAACGGTTTGTGTTCCATTAAAAACGGAAATGAGTGAACACGTGATACAGAGGTACAGTTGCAAGCAGAGTTTTCTGTGCGGTCCTTGCCGATGTTGTATAACTAGAGGCAATTGCAATTGTTGAGTGAGTTCGTGTGGAGGCGGGGTCGAATACCTTCACCGTAACCCCGCGAGTCGTAGGAGGAGAGGAAAAGGGAACCCAATGCCTGGGGGTATACTTGCCGGGACCTGGCCCTCAAAGTTGAGAGTGTCTCGAATCTGAGACAGTAAAATGCAGTCGTGAGTCCCGCAGGACTCGGACCTTAGAAT